GCCCGTTTGACCTTGAAATAAAGGTCAAAGGTCAAATCCAAGGGCATATTTGAAATCTACACATATGACCTTTGGAAAGCTATCTGTAGAAATTTTTCCCATAATTCCTTCCGTAGGGTAGATAATTAGCATTTAATTTTGCCATTTTTGGACAAGGGTGCATTGCAATGAGTGCCACACCTAGACCCCAATACCGACAAAGCCCAAATTTTACGTGGAAGGAGTTGAGATTATAGATGACCTAAATCCAAGAGATGGGTATGGAGGCCCTTACCGTCTAGGAGGAGAAGCGGTAATGGTAACTTGTAGGCGGAGCCGGCAGAGCCGGCGGAACGATCTGGACGGGACTAAAACCATGTGTACCGCCAGCGCTAACGCTGGTGGTACAATAATAAATAATGTCAACATAACCTCTTCCTTACCTCCATTAAGAACAGCTTCTTTTGTTTAGCCAGAGATATCATCTCCTGAGCTTCTTTGAGGTTGGATGCCAAAGGTTTTTCACATAACACTGGTTTACCATGGTTCAGCATGAGTAGAGTCAGGCGGCAGTGTTCATGTGTGGCAGTGCCAATATATATTACATCTGAAATGGAGAATAATATCATACATCATTACATATTTATCAAAAAAAGACAAGCTATGGTAGGCCTGCACTCTCTTGAGTTTTTCTTGTTAAACATGAAATTCAAAGAAAATAAATTGTGATAATTCTTAGAACAATGTTTTGTTAGTCATACTTATTAACGTTTGTTGATTCAAAAGTAATGAAAAGTAAATTGATTCCATGGCAGAATTCAGGTACATTTTTGTAAGTAACTGGCATGGTATTTTGCTGATGTTTGGCTTAAACTTTCACTTGCCCACATCAGTATCTCTGGCTAATTCTTCATAACTTCCATAAGCATTGGTGATTTGGTGTAATTTTGCGAACTCCTGTGCACGAGCGAGGTCCCTGGCTGCTACTGCTACAACCTAATGGGTACACATATAATGAATTAACACCAATCTTAGCAGCAGAAACAACTATCTAGCCTTCCTAAAATAACATACAAACAGAAATATGGTCCTTCTACAGTATTTCAAACAATTTATTATACACGATAAATAAGCAATAAGCTTACAAGTAACTCTACAGTACTAAGTTTTTTTTTAATCCAACATCATATTTATAATATTAAAATATTGATTTTTTTTAATTTTTTGACAGATAAGACTGCAAACTGCTTTACCAGCAATCTAAACAAGAATATACTAGTAGAACAATCCTGTTTATTTTTCAGAAGCACGATGGGGAGAAAGGGGATTGCTAATCTTGCTTAGTGCTAATTACTCTAAAAAGTGCCTTATTTGCAGCATTACTTGTCTGTTGATGTACAGTACAATATACATTTGCACATGCATGCATGCTGTAACTATAACGTACACCTTGAAATCTTTATATGTATTTCAAATACCATACCTTGTGTTCTGCATGAGGGAGAGTACGAAGAGCACTGACAAAGTCATGGCAAATTTGACCTGCACTGCAAATGCCCCAGCGAAGACATGCCTTGGTTGCCATCTGCTTTGATACAGAAAAAAATTATAAAATTGTGATTACTTAAAAAAATAAGGTAAACTTACAATGACATGATGTGAGATTTTGACATTAAGAACCGGTTGAAATTTGAGGCTGGTCTGAAAAATTACACAAGTCAACACCTGGGCTTTAAACCTTTTTATGACACAAATCCTCATTCTAAATTGCACTAACAGGCCAAAAAGTCGAGCATAATAATAGAGGCTTCAAAAGTAAATATAAAGGGATGCTTTGGGCGCTTGCATGCATGTGTCAGTGGAAATTGGCAACAAGCTGGATTCAAAAGCAGTTTTATGTGCGAAAACTTAAATTTGCTTCACAATGATCGTAAGTTTGTGAGTAGCTTTTTTATGAACTTTGTGTTGATAACGACACGAGCCAGAAGTCGGTATTCTATGGTCTTATATTAAGGGAGTGGGGGGGGGGGGGGTCTTAAGGTGTGAATTCAATTTCTAGGCGCCTCCAGCTCTACGCTTACGGAACAACAACAGTGGGACATGCACGCATGCCTGGGTGGGATTTGTTTTTGAATTCATCTTGTACTTTCTTCTAACAGATGGTGTAATGTAACAGCCTAACGGTGCCACGAATATAGATTCCACCCCCGAAAAGGTTGGTTCACGTTACAACGTTCCCATCGTCATGCTGGTGCAAGTGCGATGCATGATTGTCTAAATCATACGCATACATTAATCTGGTAGGCACTGGCATTTCTTTGAACGCCAGGAGAAAACTGTAATGGCAAAACTGTAATGGGCAGAAAGATTACCTTCTTGACTTTATAATGGCGACAGTACACAGGACAACACGCGGTCAATAGGTAGAGCAATGACGAACACAGGGGGCGCCACTCAATAATTTTTGTGAGAAAGTATTTGCATCAGTTGATACTTGAGTCATCGAAACGAAGCTTTGTTTTTCCTTTTTGATTTTCACATGAAACAGTGTATTCGAGTATCTTCAACAGGAATGCCTGGCCGTTGTGCCCGTCTTGTGAAAAGACGTTTCTAGCAGACGACAGGACTCTACTTGGTACTGTAGATCGACCCAATACTCTACCAGAACTCTTTACAGGACTGCCACCCTTATTACTACACAGGGTCATAGGCCGAGAAAATGTTTGTGGCAGCCCCCTAATACAGATCACTTCCTTCATTTCTTACCTGATTAAAATGTGTTCCAATCCCATTGTCTTGTGAGCCAGAATAAAGTCTGGCTCTGCAGCAGAATATAAGAGACTTGAAGATGCATCAGACATCACGACGTGAATGTAAACGACCCCTGGATGTAAACTTTCTTTTAAAAACAAAACTAATTTTCCATCTATAGTGCGTATAATGTAAAATGTTGGTCAAATATTTTCCAGCAAATAATAGGAGCAAAGACTATTACAATTAAAACTTGTAAGGGCAGTGGTTTCAACAATGCAGAATAAAGAGAAAGCAAATTTTGTTGCCAAATATCACCAGCATTTTCCTGTCTGTTCATGTCATAATGATGTCAAAATTTATGGAGGCTTCAACTTAGATAAAAGTGTATGGATAAAACAATAAAGATGCAGCATTTTAATGTGTTTATTCCTCATAAAAGCAGCAATTTATGGTTATATTACAGATGAGATCCAAGCTGCTTGTGCAATTTTATACTTTGTTTAAATTTGTGCACTTACTTAAAATATAAAAATAAACAATATAACAATTAACTTAGGCCTATAAAGAAAAAAACATAGGCCATAGGCCACAAGTACATGTACAGTACTCTCCCTTGAACTTTCCTGTTCAAAGTCAGTATTAAAAGCTCAGTATTGCTGCCAGACAACATTTTCTTTGTTTGTTAAACAAGTATAACATTATTTCTTCCAGTATGCATCATATGCAGCTAGTTTGTCATGGTCAAGAGTTTGTCAACAATTATTTCTAAATATGGGTCAAGCTGTTTTAGCTCTTCTTTACTACAGCCCAGCACATGATTCCCAACAGCATCAGTGGATACAAGAAATGTCTTACTCCAGTAGGCAGAGTCAACCAGGTGAGCATAAGTTATGTTTCTACAGTATATGGGTTCAATCCATGTGTAAAGAGTGCAAATATCTTAATCATTTTCAAGCACCATGCAGGACAATCTTAAAAATTTGTGATCATGGATCATGTAAAAAAGTAGTTAAAGACTGCAACTTGCTAAATTGGTCACCTCTTGGCTAATTTCAGCCCTCAGCTAGAATAACTGACCTCTGCCCTGCCTTTGGTCAATTATCCTAGCTAAGAGGTGACCTCAGCCAAAGTCAATAACTGTATATAGGAAGCCAATCTATTTGCAGATAGCTTTTCTTAATTTCAGTGGCAATGCAACGGACAACAGTGAGATCATGGACAACATAAATATTCTTAGCTTGAAATCTAATCACAAACTCTGTAGAGATATGAATACAAAATCATTGGACTGAGTATAAATTGCAACTTCGTCAGAAAATGTGCCTTAATTTTGCTAAAACATTTACTATACTTCTCTCCACATCATCATCTCTCTAACTTATCAAATGTAAGTGTTCTTAAATGTAAGTTTACTTATTGGATAGCTACTAGTACCCCATGCAAGTCAAATAACAGTCACCAGTTGTATCAAAAATTTTTACATCAAGGATTTTATTTGCCACTTTCAACCATGAAACTACTAGTCATCTGCTGGGAAACGGACACCAAGTTGACGTCTGACTTCATCCAAGATTTCCATGTTCCACAAACTGTGTTCATGTGGCATAGTGCTGTTTTCAAGCTCTCCTAGAAAAATATGCATGTGTGAGAAACAGAAATCAAATATTCACATTCACAGATTTAAACAATGATGCTGAACACCTTTTGCACAAATATGTTTTTTACCCAGTGGACGTATAACTAAAAACAAGGCAGCAGAGCTGTCAAATGTACAGACAAAGTTAGAAAATTCTAAGTATAACAGTTTTTTCTTTCCTAGCATTTGTGGTGGCAGCTAGTGTGCAACAAATAGGGGTTTTGGCAATTTTGATACAATATTACATAATGGTCAAGACCTTGTACCCTAAACCTTTTCTATAGCACTGTTTATGCTAACCTTTGATCAGGCATTGTCTCACAGCCTCTGCCTGGTACTGGAAACCACCAGAATAAGGAGAACTGCACTTTACTGCAGGCTCAGGAGCAGGAAAATTTAATGTCTCAGTTGGGGTTTTTAATTCCACAGGACACCACTGTACAGGGCCAATTTTCATGGAACCCTTTGATCCATATACAGTCACACTGTTTGTTGGGGTGCATGTCACTTCCAATGCTGTCTTGATAACTGCTGCCCTGCCACTGCTGTAAATGAGGGTTACAATAGCTAGCTTATCTGTTCCTGGAAAAAGTAATATAAAATGTGCAGAATATCTGTGTATTTTCCCTGATGTTTTTAAACTTAACATATGTGATTTAAAAATTCAATACTAAATTACAATAAACTGCAGATCCGTTCGCTAGATACCAGTTTCAAGTAAATGTAATAGGCAATACTAATTTATCAAATAATAAACAAGTTATAATCAATATAAATCTATATAACTTAAAATTCATAATTCGTAAACTTACCTGTGTCATACAAATGCCCACTGGCTGATATCTTTGTGGGTTTCTCCCCATATATCATGGAGCAATATTGGATCCCATAGCAACCTATCAGCATCATTGATCCCCCTGATAAATTCGGACTTAAAAATTTTTCATCTGGATAATCTGACAAGTTGATGAACGCCCTGGTGTCAACTAATCTGACATCCCCAATGGAACCATTTGTTATTTCTTCTTGAAGTTTAATGGTTGCTGGGAAGAATCTGGTCCAAAAGCCCTACAGTAATAAAAGTATCTCCTATAATGAAAATGCCTACAACATACACTTGTCCCATGCTGTTACTATATTGGATTGATCTTTAAGGGTCCTTCAGTGCCAATTGCTTTCAGAGAGTATGTAGCTGTTACTTTTTTTGTTTCCCATTATAATGTATCACCATGCGTGGAGGGTCACATGCACTTGCTACTGAAGTTAACATTAATTCTGCAGTAAAAAAATAATTAAATGGCATATTTAAATTGTTTTATCTTATGCTGCTTACTGCACTAAGGGAAAGTCTTGCATTAAAATGAGCCTGCATAAAAAATCAAATAATGAAATGACAATAACATAATATAAAAATAACAACGAAATGAATAAGTATTACATTAATAACAAAATAACCCTTTTCTTACCTCCATTAAGAACAGCTTCTTTTCTTTAGCCAGAGATATCATCTTCTGAGCTTCTTTAAGGTTGGAAGCCAAAGGTTTTTCACATAACACTGGTTTACCATGGTTCAGCATGAGTAGAGTCAGGCGGCAGTGTTCATGTGTGGCAGTGCCAATATATATTACATCTGAAATGGAGAATAATATCATACATCATTACATATTTATCAAAAAAAGACAGGCTATGGTAGGCCTGCACTCTCTTGACAGTTTTTCTTGTTAAATATTAAATTCAAAGAAAAGAAATTGTGATAATTCTTAAAACAATGTTCTGTTAGTTATTCTTATTAACATTTGTAAATTGATTCCATGTCAGAGGGCAAATTATTTTGAGTATCTAACATGGTATTTTGATCATGTTTGGTTCTAACTTTCACTTACCCACATCAGTATTTTTGGCTAATTCTTCATAACTTCCATAAGCATTGGTGATTTGGTGTAATTTTGCAAATTCTTGAGCACGAGTGAGGTCCCTGGCTGCTACTGCTACAACCTAATGTGCAATTTAATAAATAAAATTAATCACAGATATTAGCTGCAAATTATGTAACAGCTATCTAGAATTTCCAAAATTAAACACATAATTACTGAAATATGGCTATTCTATAGAATTTCAAATGGTTGTTTCAAACAAGAGAAGATAAGGATTGAAATTGGTAACATGTAATTTAAAAACATTTATCCTATAAGCGTATAAATAATTTCATGATTTTTTTAACCCAACATCATATTTATTAAAAATTGAATTTTTTTTTATTTGATAGACTGCAAACTGATTCACCAGCAATTAAAACTAAACTAGAAAAAAGAACAATTCTGTTTATTCTTCAGAACCATAGGGAGTGGTTGGGGTGGGGTGGTGGTGGGAGCAGAAGTAGGAGACTACTAGTGGTGCTCATTTCTCCAAAAAGTACTTTGTGACAGCATTACTTGTCCATTGATGTACATATACATTTGCACATGCATGCAAGCAGTAATTAAACTATTTTCAACTCTTCATATGCACAGCATTTCCAATACCATACCTTGTGTTCTGCGTGAGGGAGAGTACGAATAGCACTGACAAAGTCATGGCAAATTTTCCCTGCACTGCAGATGCCCCAGCGAATACATGTATTGGTGGCCATCTGTTTTGTTAATACATAAAGAAAATTAAAACCACATCATTACAATAGAAATGCAAAATGGAAAATATTATGGCATAATAGTTTAATACTGACATGATGTGGATAGTAATTGACACTAAGAACTTAAAATGTGATGCATGTCTGAAATATTACACAAGTCAACACCTGGGCTTTGAAACATTTTACTACACAACAAATCCTCATTCATAATTACACCAATTGGCCAAAAACTCAATCATAATATAATAGTGGCATCAAAGTAAATACCGGTAACAGTAGGCCCTATTGTTAATTGCATGAATGCACCAACTCCTTAATAAAATAGGCCTACTTTTTCATCAAAATTTTAGTCATTTAATTACCAACTCCAGCCTCCTTCAATTTCAAAGTGAATGTCTGAGATTTGTATACCTGACATAAGGCTTGCTCTTTAGCACCCAAGGTAACTTAACCCCCAACCCCCACGTTTTTGTGAGCAGATAGGGCCTACAGGAACGCTTGCTCACCAAAGCGACTTTACAAGCAAAGTAGGTCAAGCGACTTCATTATGGATGAATCCCATTTAATAGTTTGCGACGGTGATTCTGGCTTTAAAACCAAGACTTTTGAATAAACTTATTTACTAGATTTTCTAATTATGTATGTCGGGAGTCATCCCATTGAACGTAGGCTGGGAATTGATAGATAACGATAGGCCTTTATGAACTTAGCAATGATGACGTAAGTTCGTAACCCCCGTAAATTCATCGTTTCAGCGGTGCAAATACGACGCATGGTTGATGAAAACACTAGGAAACATTAATCTGGTAGACTTTGTCGATTCTCTGAACACTCTGAGTAACCTGTAATGATCAGAGTATTTACCTTTTGACTTTACTAATGGCGACAGCGCTCAACGCATCACGAGGTCCATAGGGGGCGTACCTTAATTGCGTAATACAATTCGCAATACAGCGCAACATTTAAAAAATAAAATAAACGGTGTATTATATCATAGAAGTACTTCTATGATCATATTGCTCTGTGTTGAGTTGTATTGCGGTGTTTTGCGCAATTTAGGCACATCACAAATAGGGCAGAGCAGACGCCACTCAACACTCTTTGTGAAAAAAATAATTATACAAGGGTGATCAAAACAATAGTAACCTTTTTTTCATAGCATTTTCACTTAAAAAAATATATATATATAGAAAAACTATAGATTCTATATGTCAGAACTCCTTGGTAGAATATATTGTTTCACGTGAAAATTAAATGAAAATAAATATGTATGTTCCCTAGAAAAATTATCAGAAAGTTTCATCTTGCCCAAGTACTTTGTGCAAAAGGAGACAGGGTTTTCTATTGCTGACTGAAACAAATACTGTGATTTTATGATAGTTTGACATTTCTGATATAATATTTGGACCATGTGTGCAAAATAGTTTATTAAATGCTTATTTTACTGTCAGTAGGGTGTACCGGTACCCCCCCTCCTTTATAATATTCAGTGACAAGCAAACTTCATTCATGCAAAAAAACTAACTGCTCTATTATCATAAATTTTTACAATGTTATACTTGTAGGAGATAAAGAACAAATCCAGTGATGAATGAATTTTCAAGCTGTCCGTTTGCTTTGTGACAGTAAAATTCATGATGTGTTCAAGTAAGATAAAATACATGGATCAAACTGAAGAAAGGCAAAATTTAAATATGTTTATTTAACACATAAAAGTAGCAGTTTATTTATATTAGGTTCAGTTCACTAGTCAGATTCATACTTTGTATAATTTTGTGAACTTACTTAAAATACAAAAGTAAACAATATAACATAGGCTCATGAAAGCCATATATCTCACTCTTTTCCGCACAGTTTGTGTTAAATGAAAAAAGTTTGTTAAAACAAGTAAAGTATTATTTTTAATAACTGCTTTACAGTCAACTGGCTTGCAATCCTGACAGCTTCTTGCATGCTAGAGATATCTGTCCAATTCAAGACATATAGTGTCTCTTTCATGTCGTTTCTCTCATCTCTCCTTTTGGCCTCATGAAAGTTTGCATGACCCATATATATATATATATATATATATATATATATATATATATATATATATATATATATATATATATAAAGCCTTCAGGCCTGGGCTTAGTCTTGTTGGAGTATGTGTCATAGAGGCTTATAGCTGATCATTTAATACCTCATTTTCCACCATACTTTTTTAAAGCATTGAAAAAAGTAAAGTAGATGGCACTTTTCTCGAGCATTATTTATCTACAGAGTATTTGTCATCTGCAGGAAAACGGACACCAAGTTGACGTCTGACTTCATCCAAGATTTCCATGTTCCACAAACTGTGTTCATGTGGCATAGTGCTGTTCTCAAGCTCTCCTGGGTATTAAAAATTGAAAATTCTCTTGTTAAATTAATCTATTTCCCATTTCATATTGTATTTATGAAAATATTTTATTTCACAAACTGCTGATAAACAGAGATAAATGATAATAAAACACATCTCATTGTATAACCAATATGACTATAAGCATCTTCATTTGACACAATGACACTATAAAATATCCAGCTATGACACTATAAAATAACCATCTTATTGCTGTGAGCTTACCCTTTAAAAGACACTGACGTACTGCTTCGGCTTGATAGTGAAAACCCCCCTTATTTGGAGACTTTAATTCTGTGGCAGTGTCTGGAACTGGGAAAGTGAATGTCTCTGTTGGCGTTTTAACTTCCACTGGGCACCACTGAATGGGCCCTATTTCCATGGACCCCTCTGTTCCATATACTGTAACGTTCATTGGTGTTGATACATTAATCATTGCCTTGACAATCCCTGTCCTGCCATTGCTGTAGGTCAGTACTACAACAGTTTGGCCATCTGCACCTGAAAATATGGTAAACGGGTTAAAACCAATTACATAACCTCAACAACATAATGTGGAAGACATTAGTTTCCATACAAACATTGGTGTACTACTTAGAGTAAAATTCATATATATATATTTTAGAAATTATCTCACTTTTTATGACCTGACCATAACCTGCAATCACAATATGCACTCATTGAATGAGTGCATATATCAATTAAATTCAGGGCCACAAGAAGAAAGATTAGGAGGGGGGAGTATGTGCATCTTCATACAAATGCAACCTCTCATTACTTACCAATATCAGATTTGATTTTATTTGGATTTTATTGGTTATGATAACTTTTGTAGTAAACTGACTTTGCAATTGCTACTTAATGACTCGTCAAAGTTGGATGTGGGGAAATGATTGTCTAGTCCAAAAGTTATCCAATGCACCCTTACCTGAGTCCAGCAAATGACCACTGGCAGCTATTTTCACAGGTCTTTCCCCAAAGATCATAGAGCAATACTGGATTCCATAGCAACCCATCATTGTAACTGCCCCTCCTGACAACTCTAGACTTGCAAACTTTTCAGGAACAGTTCCTTTATAGCACCTGCAAGCAATTGTTTCAATGAGTTTGACTTCACCTATTGTGCCTTTTGAAATTTCGTCCATAAGTTTATATGATGCTGGGAAAAATCTTGTCCAGAACCCCTACAAAATATATAAATATATCAGTCTATACACAGAGACCCTTCTTTTTGAGAAAAATTAAATAGTTTTTGCAATATCAAAACCCCACCTGAGTAACATTTGTTTTGATGTTTCCTATCACTGCATGTTATTGATCATAATATAGGAAGAACCAGAAATAAATAGTCAGTGTGAGAGAAATGAATCTAAGCATAATGTGATTACTCCTTCCCCCCAAACAATAAATAAATAAATAAATAAATAAATAAATAAATAAATAAATAAATACACAGTTTACCTCCATTAAGAACAGCTTCTTTTCTTTAGCCAGAGATATCATCTCCTGGGCTTCTCTGAGGTTGGAAGCCAAAGGTTTCTCACATAACACTGGTTTACCATGGTTCAGCATGAGTAGAGTCAGACGGCAGTGTTCATGTGTGGCAGTGCCAATATATATTACATCTGAAATTGCAAGATAGACTATTATACAGTGTATATCATACTGCTATCTCATTCTCTCTCTTAAAAAAAAAAATAATAGCACTCTGAAGAAGTGGTTCAAATAAAAAATGTTTGTTTTATAGATCATACAGAAAAAAATGGGTCTATTTTATATTTTGCTGCCAAACAATTTTTCTCTTTCTTTGAATGATGGTTTAATAATAATAGTGCACACACAGGCAAAAAGACAGGGTTGGGAAGGGTTAGTCAGTTTCCAAATAAACTGTTCTTTTGGCTAGGAAAATGTTCACTATGAATCAAGATTTGATCCAGATTTTATGCTGTTACATCAAAAAAGGTCCATTTTTTTTAGAAAAAAAAGACCCCCATTTACAACTGATGGCTACAGATTTGATACACTCCCTCATTTCTCAATTAAAACCTAGAATATTCATTTTCATTTTAGTCTGACACAATGGTTTTATGTAATTACATCCAAAAAGGTCCACTAATTTTAGAAAAAAAAAACATTTGAAACTGTTCGCTACAGATCTGATACCCTCCCTGCTTTCTCAGTTAAAACTTAGAATATTTATTTTTATTTTAGTCTGACACAATTTTGCCTTACCAACATTTGTATCCTTGGCTAATTCTTCATAGCTACCATAAGCATTAGTGATCTTATGTAACTTTGCGAAGTCTTGAGCACGGCTGAGATCTCTCGCAGCGACTGCCACTGCCTTAATAATAATAATAATAATAATAATAAAACTTTTGTCATAATTCAATTTATCAAAAAAAATACAATGTGTCAACTGTGTCAATACAAAAATGGTCAATGAAAACATTAAATTCAAGTGGAACATTCAATTTTAAATGTATCAAAATTTTATGATTAAAATTCCCCAAAATAGCAAAGCAAAACTAGGGCAATAAAGTTTCTATTAATGCTAAACTTTAAGGTTTACCTTATGTTCCATTGGGGGCATGCTTCCTAGTGCACTGGCAAAGCTATTAGAAATATGTCCTGCACTACAAATGCCCCAGCGAATGCACCTACTTGCAGGACTGACTGCCATCTGTTGGGGAAAATTAAATATTTACTGTGGTAGGCCTGGTTAACTTTTCACATTTTACTGCAATTCAGTTATGGACTAGTTACGGGGCTGTGATTATAAGCTGTAGTCTCGCCTTTCATCTTAAAATAGCTTCTTATTTTTCAACATGAAATACTTTCCATTTTTATATTCATACTTAATATACACACGCAAAGTTTCAAAACCGTTTGGATGGTGCAACCGTGCAAAAACCTTAAGCAAAGTTATGGATTACCTTGCGTTTCGGATGAAGCAGTTCGGGCAGCTACCCTTGCTGCAATGTCATCCAAGAGAAGCCACATTCACGCAACATGAATTCAGTCGCACCAAACACAATGGCATAAGCACCTACTAGCACTTGAGTTCATCAAAACAAATTTGGGTCGATCTATGCTCATTATCTGCACATACACCTGCTAGGGGGTGTGTATATATATATATATATATATATATATATATATACGGGTGGATAGGCTTTGATAATATAATAAAACAATGCATATCTTATCGTCCAATAGCAAATAGTTTCTTACAGAGATTTTATAAATGTTTTTTTATATTTATTTATGCATAAATCACCTCACCTTTGAAGTAGAAATCTCACCCTAGTGAACACAAGTGTTTCCCGGATTATTTGAAGTGGGGGCGTTTTTTAGGAATGACAGGCCGCAGATGCGAAGCCGACAATGGGGGAGAATGTAACAGTTACAACACAAGGCCAGTGATTAGGGGCAATTGACCTGGATTTTCATTCCAGGTAAAATGACCCTAGTCATTTACTCCCTGATGATGGTGACTGACAGTCACAGAAATATTGGAGGTAATACCCACATATTTTACAAGCTCTGGATAAAAAGAAAAACAATAATTTGAATTATCTGATAAAGTTTGCTACTAGGACCTGGGAACAAAAGGTCTGGCACTTGACAATCAAGTTGATAAAATCACAAAACGCCTGTAGAAAATAGAGCATACCTGCCCAACATTGATTTGTTCAGATTCTTGACTAAGGGGTGCGTTACTGGTGTCAAGGGCCAAGACTTGAACTTAAGGGTTTTGCATGTCACTGGACATTACTCTCGATTTCTCCCCAAATCTAATAAAGCCTCAGTTGCTTAACTTTTGCCAATTTTCCAATATCTATAGGTTGTGTTGTTTAATACTTGGGGTCTCTTCTCTGGCGGCGGTTAATTGGGACCCCTGTGCGGCCTGTCAATGCACCTAGACCCACTTTGGCCAGTGCCACATTTTCCGTTGCCGAAAATATCAAAATATTTGTGAATAGAATGAGGAATAATGACAGTTATGATAAAATGTTTGGAAGTACCTGTCACCTTCGCCACAGTAACCATATGGGCTGTG